GGCTCTATCCGTGTTAAAATATGTTTTAAAAAAATTACAAAACTAAACAGCCTACAGTATTTTTACAGTCTTTATTTTACAGTTAAAATAAATGTTTATCAAATAAAGTTTAATGTTACAACTAATCGTGGGTTCCTTTAAAAGCCTTTCGAAATGTTTTATGTTTTGTAAAGAAGTCCTCTGACATCCTAATTTTCCAAATAAAGCCCCTGGAAAAGTTTACAGGTAGAAACCGCAAAGTCTGTGCCCACTGGTGGAACAAAGACTGATACTTACCATGATCTTATTTAATATTTTTTATGAAAAAGAACCAGTGGTGACGTTTTGGTTGCAACAGTAGTAGTTTTAAAGAATATGAACAAGTTTAAGAGAAAATAAACTCGTAGGAACTTCAGTGATCTTAACAAATGCAGCAGTGGGGTCCTCAAGAATTGACCTTGTGGTTACCAGATTTTATTGCTTTTTGTAAATAAAACAATAATACTAATATACTAATAATAATATAATACCTGTTCCTATAAATGCTTTCATGTGACAAATGTATTTTTCAATTAAATTACATTTTGCTTTTTAATTAAGTTGAAATGATTATTTTATATCTGAAGACGTGATTTTTAAAAATAATTTCATTAAATTAATTTAAAATAAAAAAGAAACCTATAAAAGGTTATGGCAAAGGATAACCTTGATTTTTTTAATTCATGAAAATGTTATTCATTTCCAAGTGAAATATATTTATTGATTATTTACTAACTGTTTCATTAAAAGCAGCTAAAATTTTGCTAAAACACTAAAGAAACAGGCAAAAACATCGCCATGACTTTCTCCCCGTGGTGGTGGACAGTCACCAGCGTCCTCTGTGCTGAGCAGAGACAGTATGTGTTGCAGTCATTCACACCCAGCACTAACCTTTTCACTCAGTTTCAGCGAGCCGCTGCTGCGCTGCCCTGAGAGCTCACTCACCATTTATCTTGCTCTCAGCGTCTCCAATCATACTCTGAACCTTTTGCCTCCTAAACTGTGACATTTCCAACCAGTGTGAGATGTGGAAATTTCAGGACGTGGTTCTTAAACAGCAATTTGTTGATCCTTCAACAAGAATGGAAACACATTCAATTTCCTCTCAAAAATACTAGAACTTTTACTAGAACCTTATTGACCATACTTTGAAGTGGAAAAATTGGCTTCCATCACTTCTTAAAAGCCACAGTTTGTTTCGAAATGCTTGGAAGAATGGTTTTTCTAAAGAGCAAATAACATTTGAACTGGAAACACACCTCCTCTGGGCGTGCATGTGTGTGTGCCTGCACATTATCTCAGTAAACACATGCTTCAGTAAAGGTAGAATGGTTGGTGTCAGAGTGTCAACATACACTCATTTTATAGCGTAGTGGTGTTAAAAGGCTGCACAGAAAAAAATCCAAACAACATAAATTTTTTCAAAATGTCTTGCAGTTGTCATTGATTAGCAGCCTTGAGGCTTTGAATCAACAATACAGGCTAAATTTATCTGCAGTCTGAGGACACAAAACACTAAATGTAAACAATTTTGACAGTTTAATTAACCAAAACTTTAACAATATGAATTAAAGCTGATTTATTATGCAGTTGGTCAGATGCTTTGCAGTAATTACTTTAGTTGTCTGAGCGATTCTGTCTGCAGTCTGTCTGCGCTGTTTCGTTGAAGCGGGTTGAATCAGGATGTGATGTTGTGTCACAGATCTGAAGCCTTTTTTCCCCCAGCACAAAGGGACATTCTCGTGCAACAATGAAACAGCAATAAAAAAATTCTTGTAGAAGCAGAAGGAATCACGATGTAAGCGAACTTAGAAGAAAAGTTAAAAGGTAAGAGTGTCACTTTTGTGTGAAACTGTGGAGAAACGTGGCTAAAAATGACTCAACCCTTGATTTTTCTCCTTTTTTTCACCCTATAGTGAACAGAGAGTTAGCAGTAAAGACTTTATCTCAGAAGACAAGCTCAATTATAATGAACAGAACAGGGTTCCTGCAGATCCTTAAAAAGTCTTAAAAGGCATTTAATTAATCAATCCAAAGATAAGGCCTTAATTAGCCTTAAAATGTCTTAAATCAATCTTTCAGAGGTCTTAAAAAATGTTAACACATTGGATGATTGTAATTCATCTCAAATATTAAAATAATTGATAAAACAATTTTTAATATTCACATGCAGACATTGACATCACTTCCTGTTATTTCACATGCAAATATCTCAACAACTGTCCATCTGAGCAATGAGAAATTCTTTTTGTAATGTTAATTATGTTGTCTTTCCAAAAATGCATTTACTTTTCTTACAAAAAATTGATGTCATGGGCACTTTAAGGTTTCATCTACAGCAAATTGGGGTTAAGAGCCCACTGTGGGTCCTGAAACTCCAAATTTTGGGTTGTTAGAGGATTTCCTGAAATTAAATTAAGTTTAAAACTGACTGCTAAGAATGTTTTTGCCATAGGTAGATATGGATAAAAGCAATTGGTCAATTAGCAATATTTGAATACTTCAACCAAAAATACTTTGATTCATGAGTTTCTGACAGTTTTTATTTTTATTTTTTGTCATTTGTTTATAATGAAATTGGTCTTAAATTTAATTTCACTTGGCATTAAAAAGTCTTTAAAAGACTTAAATTTAACTTGCTTTAAACTGTAGGAACCCTGAAAA